GTTGGAGGACATCCTTCAAAGAGCGTGTGCCTGTTGCTAAAACACTCTGCTTAGAAGGTTATGCCTTGATTCAGTTTGGAGGGGAAAGGCACCGGGAGAGCTGCCCCCAAGACCCAAGCACTGTGACTTTCAAGCAACAGCCTCCCTGTCTCTGTCCGTGCTTTTGTTCTTTCTCTGAACTTTGACTCGTTAGAATATATTAGTGGAAAGGCAGAGTGAGGAAGCGGCATGGGATGAACATGGATTTTGCTTTAGTACACCAGTCTAACAAGGACAAGATTGCTTAACGTCCCACCCAATCAATTCCCAAAGGTTAACCTCTGGCATCTATTTAATGAGCCCAGCTTACATAGGTTGCACCCTGCTCCAAAGGTCATGGATTTGAGGACCTATAAATATTCAGTTCCATGACACTGAGCGCTCTCATACTCTTTTGAAAGGTACCTGCTGAAATAAATATTTATATGGGCCCTCCAGTGATACTGCCCATAATGCAGGATCCAATTCTGCTTCCTATTTTTGTCATGATTCCAGCATACCTTTCATGGAGCATCAGCCCTTGCTAAGGAGTGTCTCGAGGTGGCCCAGTTGATCATGTTTTTAAATACCAGGGCTAAGTTTCTCTCTGTTTCTCTCTTCCATCCTGATCCTAAATGTGGTTCGTGCTGGACTTTGAGATTTCTTTTGTTGCTTGTTTGCATGCAAACCCACCTGCATTTTTATATGCTTTTCTCCCAATGCGGGGATTTTATGCGCTTTCACTTTGTCCTGTCCTGTATGTTTTGTTTTGCAAGCAGTTTTCCTTCCATCAGGATGCACGGATTTTATTAAACCTGTTCCATCTAGGACTGGAGCCTTCGGTTCTGCAGTCCTTCATGGACAGAGCTGAATTTTTTCAACCACAGTTTCATTCTCTTCATGCTCATTTGCATTGGAACTAATGGGTACTTGTGCACCTGCACATTTATGCCCATTAGGTCTCCTCCTACACTAAGTGGAAGTAAAATTAGACCAGAGGAACAGGTTGGTGGATGAGGGGAGAAGCTGGCACAACTGCCAAATTTCCCACCTTCAAATATACCATCCTGGGGTGGCAGCAACACAAAATGACTGTCATTGTCACCATGGTTTTTTAAATATGAACAACAGATTGAAGCTGCTTGAGAGCAGGATATGGACTGACACAGAGGCTGGTTGGCAGCACCGCCAGGATTCTCCCATTCCCACGGGTGCTTCGTGAGCACAAAGGCAAGCCATTTGGTCTCCATGCCCTGCCCAGCAGTTCTGGGCTCTACATTGTAGAAGAGATGTAGCTAGGTAAGAATTGGTCCAGTGCAGGGTCACAAGGACGGGAGACGGGGTGGGAGGGATGACACTTGAGGAGAGCTTGAGAGAACCGGGTCTCCTCAGCCTGCAGGAGACTCTGAGGGCATCTTTTAGCAACTTAGAGGTATGTGAGGGGATGCCATGTGGAGGGACCTGCTCTCCCTGCCATGGAGGGCAGGAAGCATTCCAGTGGGGCAAAGCTCAAGGCATCGGGCTTCAGGTTGGATGTTGGGAAGTACTTCCTGAGAGTTAGGTCCCCTAGGAGATGGGATGGGCTTCCACGGGAGGTGGTGGAGGCCCCATCTGTGAGGGCATTCAAGGAAAGACTAGATAACCACATGCCAGGGATTGCATGAGCGGAGCCAGCTGGAGCCGGGGGTCAGACTAGATGGCCTGGCGGGGAACCCCTCTGACTTGCTCTGTTTCTCTGTTGCCTGGACAGAAGTGACTTGTACCTTCAGTCCTGTACCCACCCATGACAAAATGCGTTCGCTGATGACTTAGTAATTGCCCGTTTGTCTCCTCACAGTGAGCAGAGATCTGGGCCAGGGAAGGGGAAGGGAAGAGTGTAGTGTCACACGCCCAGAATTTCTGCAAATCTGCTTGCAATCCCACTACCGGGACCGGAACCTCGGGTATGAGAAGCCATTAAGAGCATGCATAATTCTGACATATGCGTGCCTGCGCACACACGCACGCACGCACATTCCTGCAAAGCACAGAGACATTTGTTTGGAAAGGGAAAAGCAAATATATGCAACCCACAGGCAACGTTAGCATGTGCCCCACCTCCTGTTGCACTAGGGTTTTACTGCTGGCTGCCAATTTGCTCATGCAGAATCCTCTTCCCTTTCCTCCCCACCCCCACCAAAAGCAGGAAGCAAATTTTGGTGCGGTTACTGTGGCAACTGTTTTATTGCATTAGGTGGATGTTCTGCTTGAGGGATGTTGTGCCCTTTCTTAAAGGGACCAGCATGTGTTTTAACGCCTCTCTCCAGATGCTTAAGTGCGTTTTGCACCCCCTGTGCCTTTTGGGGAGCAGACCAAGGCATGCGAGTTTGACACAAGAATGCCAGAGCTTTCAGGGGCCTCACCCCCTCCTGTCCGTGCTTGTGGGATGGCGGACTCGACGGCCTTTGGTCTGGTGCAGCATAGCCTTCCGTGCGCTCTTACGTTCAGGCAGGTGAACGAGCCATTCCCACCTCAGAAGGAAGAATGGGCATCTCCTGCCGGATGAAGCGACTTCGCATGGGCCCTCGCTTGAGCAAGCACAAGGCTCAGCAGGAATTGCTGGCTTGCCTTTGGCCCGGGTCATTGGGCTCAGCTGCTCTGGCCATGCCTGGCCAGAATGTTCTGCCTGCACCGGCCCAGGCACAGGCGCTTTCCCATCTAGACGACGAGCACACACTCCACCTGGGGCCACCCTCGTGGACCGCGCAGGAGCTGCACCTAGTGAGACGCTGAGGCGGCCCCCCACAAGCATCGTCCCACCGGCTTGGGACCCCAGGTTTGGTGGGGCCGCACTGCTTGCCAGGAAGCCCCTGGTCCAAGTTCAACCTGTGACCCTAGAAAACCGACACAGCTCAAGCCAGCCGTGGGAGCATGACTTCTAGCAAGATGTTTTTACTTGCACTTTTTTCATGCACAGTGCATGTTCTTACCACCCCACGCACTCCGAGTGGTCACATTCCTCCAGTACAGAAAGGTCTGATCGGTTCGCTGGTTGCTTTGAGGCTCAGATCGAGGGTTTGAGTTTCACCTGTAAAGCTCATCACATGCCGCTCAGTTATTCGGCTCTGCAGGTGAGGCCCTTTGGAAGGTACCCTCCTCAGCAGGATGCAGAAAGGAGCATCGTGTCTTCTGTCACTCCCAATCTGACATGTCTTCCTTTTGGCTCGTGACTAGCCCCACTGCGTCCGCATTTTGGTCATGGGTCAAGATACATCTTTTAATGTGGCCACTGTGATGATATTTTGCTGACCAGGTGTGTTTCACAGGCAGCATCCTGCCAAAGTATGTAGCAGCACCCTACATTCCTACTTAACCTTGAGGACTAGAGCCTTTCTTTCTGGGCAAAGGGGGCACAGGTTATGGATTCTGCCCTGTTTGACATGCAGAAGGTCCCCAGTTCATTCCCTGGCCTCTCCAGGTAGGCCTGGAAAAACTCCCTGGAACCCCTGAGCGCCACAGCTGCCAGTCAGTGTTGACAATACTGGGCTAGACAGGCCAAAGGCTTCATCTGCTAATGTTTTCCTGTACTTTCAACTGCTGGAACTTTCCGTTTTCTGATACTTCTGTCAGCCACCTTCATACAGAAAGGTGGCACAGATATACAAAACACAAACAAATGCAAAAAATGCAAGACATGACTGAGGATTCAGCCAGGGAACTTGCACGTGCAAAGCAGAGGCGGTATCTGTGAGCCACCGCCCCTTTGCCTTGGCCTAAAAGCAAGCAAGAGTCTGGCCCCCAAAGTTGTGAAGCAAGCGGAATTTCACTGGGGACACAGGGCACCGCCTTGTGACCAGTGGTCCATCTTGCCCAGGACTGACCACACGGACTGGAAGCCGTGGCTCCCCAGAGATTCGGGTCTGTTTTCCCAGCACACCATGGAGATGCAGCCAGGAACTGAACTTGAGACCTTCTGTAGGAAAACAGGGCCACACCTGTCCCAGTAAAGCTCGCCTCCACCTGCCTGACGGGGGTGTCCCAGGTGAGCCCCCCCTCCCCACCTCCCACCCTTCCATCTCGGTGCTTCAGAAAGGCCTTTCACCGAACATGGGAGCTGGAAAAATGGGCACCCTTCGAGGCTGGCTGGCTGTGCCGGCAAAGGCAGGGAGGAAGTCTGGAGCTTGGGGCTTGTTGGGAAATGCTGCCGGGAAGAGTTTCCGGGTAAGCCGCTTGCCCGGCTCGCGGGACGCCGGCGTGACTCTCCGGGGGAGTCGCACGCCGGGGCGCATCCAGCCGCTCGCTCGCGGCCCGTCTCCTCCGCCCGGTCAAGGTGCGGCACGGCCCGGCCCGTCCGTCCTGGGGCGTGACGCAAGGCGTCGCCCGGTGTCCCCCCCCACCCCAATCCCGAGGCCGTGCCCCAAACCGAGCGCGAAGGCGCCCTGGGCATCCCCGCGCCTCGCAGCGCGGGACCGGGCGAGAGGCGGCGGCGGCGGCGGCGCCCGGGCGCCTGGCGATCCCGGCGCGGCGGGCGGGGCCGGGGCGGGGGGGGGAGCCCCCGGGAGGCGGGGGGCCTCCCCCGCGCCCCGGGCGGCCTCCCGCTCCCTCCGTGCAGCCCCGCTCACCCCGCCTCGCCTGATGTCACATCCTGCTCCCGCAGCCTCTTCCCTGCCCGCGCCAGCGCCTCCGAGCCGCCGTCCTCTCCCTCCGTCTCCCCTTCCTCTCTCGCCCCCCCGCTCTCCGCTGGCGCCCCCTCCTCAGCTCCCCTGCCCCTCCCTCCCCGCCTCCCTCCCTCCGCCCCCACCTCCCCCCTCCGCGGCAAACTTTTGGCAGCGGCGGGGCGATCCGGTCCCCCGCCTGGCCGAGCACCGCTTGCCCGCGCCGCCCGGCCGGGGAGCCATCGCCGAGGGGGCGGCGTGCGGGAGAGAAAGTGCGAGGCGGGGAGGGGAGCGCGAGCGAAAGTGGGGCGCGGCGAGGGAAGGAGGATGCCAAGGACGGCGGCTCCTGCGCGCTGGCCCTTCCTGGGGTGCTGAACGTCCCCGAGCCGCCTCCTTGCATCCCCGCTCGAAGGAAGCCCGGCGGCACGGAACGAGGCAGCCGGGAACGCCGCCCGACCCTCCGGAGCCTCGCAGGGGCTGGAGCCGCGTGCCCTCCGAGCCATGCGACCCGCCAGCAAGCTGCTGAACGTGCTTTTCCTGCTCCTGATGGGCGCCAGACTCACCCAAGTAGGTGGCTTTCCCTTGCGACCCCCCCCCGAGCCCCCCCACCACCACCACAGGGACAGGGGCTTCTTGCCCGGCCGTGTTTCTCCTGCTTTGAGCTCACCCCCGCTGAAGATCATTTAAGTTTCTCGCTGGCGCTGTGAATGGCGACCCCTTCCGCGAGGCGAGGCGAGGCGGGGGGGGGGGGGTTAAGGCTGGTGTCTCTCCCTATTCAGGTAGCTTTTGTGGGGAGGGGGATATGCTGTAAATGGCCGCCTCTCCCCTCCTCCTCCATCGCCGCCGCCGAGATCCTGGGCTCGCGAGCCTGCCTGCGTCCTCCCCGCAACTCCGATTCAAAGTTGAGGTCCCGTCCGGGGCGCGGGGAGGGAAGGGAGGCCGGGCGCCTGCCCTTCGGTGCTCCTTGCCAGCGAGAGGACGCCGCGAAAGGCGCCCTCCTCGCCGCCGCGTTTCTGGAGCGAGAGAGCTGGGGGCAGGACGGACGCTCCCCGCGGGGCCGCAGGCGGCCGTGCGGGGAGGCTGAGCGGCCGGTCCGGGGCGCTCCCTTGACAAGTCTCCGCGCCCCCTGCCGAGGTGCGTCGGCGTCGGTGGCTTGTGGTGGACGGGAGCCCCGCCGCTTCCCTGCCCCCCCTGCCAACTGCCCCCCCTGCTCGGGAGCCGCAGCCCTCTCCGCGCACCTTCCCTTCGAAGCGCTGCAGCCCTCACCGAGCCGTGGCCTCCAGGTGCGCTGGCGGCAAGCCCGGCCACGGCGAAGCTGCCTCGCCCGGGGCGGCCTGGGGGCGAAGGGGCAGAGCGGCTGGCAGGAGGCGAGCGGGTTTTGCCGGGATTTAGACCCCCGAATGCCTGGCCACGTTTCCTCCTCCACCATGCTGGGAGCGTGGGACCTCTTGACGCTTCAATTAGCTGACCCTTCCCTCCCCCGTCAGCTTGCCCAGCTGTGCATGCGGGGTGGAAGGATTCTCCCCCCCCTTTTGGAGACAGCCGTGGCCCACCTTGCTCCGGAAGCAGCCGCAGCCAGGTATGTTGCAGGAGAGGTGTGGAAGGGACAAAGCACAGGGCTTCGATCTGAGATTCCTAACCTAGAAACGCCACGATGAGGCAACTAAGCCCAGGCAAAGGCCCCCTTTCTCCCAAAAGCAACGAGGGCGCTTCCCCGGGGCAGCGCTTTTCACCTCGCGGCCCTGCAACCAAATCCCCTTCCTTCTCCTTTCTTGTTCCTTTCTCCCGTGGGCTTGAAATGCGATGGAGAGATTCGCTGGCATGGAAACTGCTTAGGCCCTCGAATAAGACAAAGGACAGCAGGGGAAGAACTGCGAGCAGAGAGAGGGGTGCTTTTTAGCCACACTGAGAGCTGGAGCGGGGAGAGCCTTGGGTTTGTTTCAGGGGAATTTGAAAGGAGGAGTCAGTCCTGGTGGCTAAGCGCTGACCGCGGGGTTCATTGTGTGTGACTGTGTAGCGAAAGAGAAGGAGATGGCGAGAAAGGGGGTTCTCTGCGCATGCTCTGAGACTGGACAAATCAGGGGTGGGGGTGGGGGATGTACAAGCCTTGTCCTGAAACCGGCAAGGAGTGTGTTTCCCTGGCCATGCTTTCAGTGTCACAAGAAGAAATGCCCGTGAGTCTGATGCTGAGCACCTGCTGGGGGTGCCGTGGCTCTTTCTGCCTGCTTTTTCCCTGGGTGCTGAATCGCACAGAGGTGCCTCGAGGGGCCCACCGCCCCCCACGCCTTCCTGCCGCATGAATGGGGGCACCTGCCATCCCCACACCTGTGTGCATGCGTACGCACACGCACGTTCCCCTCGAGGGCACTGCAGGGATGGCATTGTTCACCCCAGGCGAGGATGCCCCTGCCCTTGATGGCTCCGGCTGTGTGCAGGCCTGGGAAGGGGAGAGGGAGCAGAAAAGAGCATGGGGGTGGGGGGGACTTGGGGGTGGGGGGCTCCCCCCTCAGCTTGACCCATGCACTGCTCCCTGTGCCCCGAATGCGGAGGAAACAAGGCGGCTTGACTGCTGGGCTGGAAGGGCGACATCTCAGGCGCACATTCTGAGCATGGGCACATGCCCAGCACCATCACTGCTCTTATTATGGGCCCAAATTGTTACAGCCTGAGAAATGCATGCCCACGGCAGCCAGGCAGTATCACAGCAGCTCAGGTAACGGATCGCCATGGCGATAGGAACCATGGCTGGGCCGGATCCAGGGAGCCCTCTTTCGTGAGAGAAAGGTCCTTGCCTTCTGCCCGGTGTGGGGGGATGCCCCCTTTCCCATGCACACCACAGCTGCCCCCATCCAGCAGGGTCCCCCAGCTCTCTCTGTGGCGTTTTCAGGGGTCTGGGGGGCTGCCCTGGGGAGGAGGCAGCGGGGCTGAGAAGCAGTCACTTGGCAGTTCATTTTGCAAGCGTGAGTTCTCCCAGGTTCTTTGTTCACCACTGTATAAGCAATGGAAATGAGTGTTTCTGAACATGTGTGGATTTGGTTCCCCTTCTGGCCCTATCCCCACCACCCGTAAACAAAGCTGGGTCAGTAGATGGGTCGAGCTGGCAATAACTCTGGACAGTCCTGTTTCCTTGAAATGAGGCATGGGGTCTGCACCCCATCCTGACCCCTTAAAATTCCACAGGCATTTGCGCTGAGCAGGCAGCTCCGGGCTTGTGCCTGCGCTTCACTCTAAGGCCCCATTCCCAAAATGTCTGAGAACAGAAATAAGTTGGGATTCCAGCCACACCTCTGAACAAGTGGAGAGTAGGGTCCCTTTCCTAAGTACTCCTGCCAAGTAGGAATCAATGCCCATGTTCCAGCTCTGGAGAAGGCCTCACATCTTTTCTGAGCATTGCCGACGCTGGTTGGGGCTGAGAAGAGTGGGGTGTAGCTTGCTTACCTCTGGTCTGAGATGTCTGAGACTGAGGGGGACAGATTTCTCATGGAAAGACTGAGCTCGTGTGCAGCTCTCGTGTGCAAATGAGGCAGAGCTCAAGGAAAAGCTGCCCGCAGGGCCCCAGAGGCCTCGCTCTTCTGCTCACTGCCCCTTTTGCTCTCTGCCAGTGGTGCGTGCAGCTTTCAGAACTGCTCCACAAACTTCAAGCTGCTTCAACCACATGCTCTTGCTAGCCCAACAAAGAGGAGGTTACCTACAGCACTCAATTAATTAAGGCGGACACATGCCAGCCCTCCTTATGCTGCAGCGAAGACTGGGGAGGGGGCTGAAGCTCTGTGCTGCCTGCGGAAGGCCCCTGTTTGGTCACCGGCGTCGGCAGGCAGAACCAGGGAAATTCCCATCTGGAGCCCTGGTTAGATGCAGCTGCCACCCAGTGTTGGCAGTACTGGCCTGGCTGGCCTGAGGCTCTAATGTAAGGCAGACTCCTATGTTCCCCTTCAAGTCACCCATTTATTCCAAATCATGAGGACTATAAACTTATTTTAATTTTACAGAAAGTGCCATAGCTCAGTGATAGAACACATGCTGTCCACGCAGCGGCAGCAGCAGCAGAGAGGGCACGGAAGGAGCCTCAGGAGGGTGCCAGCATGGAGAACGCTGGGACTGACCCAGAATGCGGCAGCCTCCCGTGTTGAACAACGCGGCTCAGCTGCAGGCGAATCCGGCCTGCTCTTGCCACACCACGTTCCACCCACAGCAGTGGCAAACTCTGCCTCGGGGGACACCATGAGCCCGCTAGGCCAGGGGTCCTCAAACTTTTTCAACAGGGGGTCAGCGGAAAGGTGCGTGAGTTCCAAGCGATCTGCACGCGAGCAAGCCGCTGCCTCGCTGCGCACGCGCCCACGTGCACATGGCGAGTCAAAAACCTCTCTGGCGGGCCAGAGAAACGGGCTCGGCAGGCTGGTACGGGAGCTCTGTGGCAGCGTGATTGCCATGTGTGCTGCTTCGCTCCCTTGCCTGAGGGCGGATCCTTTCCAGCGGTGAGCTCTGATGCTCTGAAAGGTAGAGAAGGTTGCTGTTGCGGTGATGCTCTGACCTCTGGCAGGGTTCACATTCTGTTTGGTTTCTCAAGAAGGCAAGAAGGAAAGAAAGCAGCAGCACAGAGAGCTCCGGTTGAGGCTGAAGGCAGACAAGGCTGCCTGTGAGTATCTCCAACGAGGAGCAGATTAAAGCTGAGCCTCAAGTAGGATTACCTCCCTTCAGTAATCCATGGATCACACAGATCCAGCAACTTGCGGAATGCTTGCTTCTTTCATTTTCTCTGGTTTTTCTTGCTGTGGGAATTCAGATGCATGTGTCCTTGTGCTCATGTGAACTTGTGGACTGTGCGTGGACAACAGACTCCCACATTCTATCCCATAATGAGCAGATGAGCAAACAAAGAGTAGCTGACAGTCTGCAAAACACAAAAGGAATGAAGTTAACAAGGTCATAATATCCCTCGCCTGGACGTGCAAGGCCCTCATGGACAGGGTGTCCGAAGGGTGGGCATGCTCCTCTGGATGCAGGGGTCTGCAGGGCGATTCTGTGGAGCTGGTCTTGGTGCAATGGAAGCCATGTGCAGACCTTCTGTGGCTCGTCGCAGCTGGCCTATGCTGGATTCGCTGTGTCTGCATCCCCTCCTGACCCGCTGCTGGTGGGCTTGTTGGAAGTCGCGTCCCGTACTGTTAGCACAGGCTGTGGCAGTTGCTGGTGGAAACAGGCCTGAGGTGGAGGAAGGTCCCCAGCTGCTTAAAACATCTGCAGTGTCTCTTCGTTGCCTGTGCCTCCACCGGCGAGGCAGCCAAAGCTTCCCTGCCTGTGGTGGAGGAAAGTAAAGAGGACCTGCCAGCCACCGTCTTTGGTGGCTCCACAGGTCTGGAAACTCTCTTGGCACCACTGCACTTGGCCTTGCGAGCTACCGTGGACTCTCAGCGTGCAGCCACTGGCACTCGCTCAGGGATGGGGGGGCCAAGGAAGGGCAGCAGCGGATCCGGCGGAAACCCGGGCAGCAGCGTGCAGCTTCTGCACTGGCCGGGCCAAGCCTCCGCATCAGATCTTGTCCCCCTTTGGGTCAGCCGGCAAGCCGCCCG